GAAATGATTATTTTTGTTTTCGCGATTGTCCACGTTGTCGAGTTTGAACGTTTCATCGATTTCGCACGATTTTTCTTAGGTTACATTCGGTTACATTCTTAGGTTATCCTAAATCTAAGAGAATTACTTGTTTTCTCCTCTCTCTCTCTCTCTCTCTCTCTCTCTCTTTTACTTTTCCTTTTTTTCCTTCCATGTTTGGTAATAGGATTCACCTATCGATCCTACACGAGCCTTTTCTGGCACATACCTACTTAACTTTTTTATTGACCGTAAGGGAAGGGAGAGACCGATTGACTTAGGATATTCACACGAGTTCAAAAAAAAAAAAAAGAAAAATAAGCGGCTTTTTACTCGGAGCAGTATGATACTTCCGAGTTATAACTTCCCGTTGTAACATGATATCAAAACCCGACGCGTGTTGCGCTCGAGCTCTTCACGTAAAAAAAAGTTGGACGGATTCTTCGTTGTTGATTTTATTTGTATTTTCTTTTTTTTTTTTTTCATTTTTATTTTTTTTTTTTTTTTCTATGCATATCGTTTCTACGTAAATTACACTTTCCTTTGAACGTGGAATAAATAACACGATTTTCCTTTTAAATTAGTTTTATCTTTCTTTCGTATTTACCGATGTATCAATTTTTTAAAAACTTTTTCTATACGCTTATATATAATATAATAGTATATGCAAGATAAATATATATATATATATATAAATTATTCAATGAAAATTTGCATTAAAACAAAGGACAAATGTATAATAATAAGATTAAAATATGCAATTTATTTAACGAATAAATGCAATAATCAATTTGATAAAAAATATCAATATGACGATAGATATACCATGACATATGTTTGTACTAACTCTTTTTTTTAATTATTATTATTATTTTGGTTATCTATATCTCACCCAATGGATGAAGTAACTTCTACGTGTTAGGAAACATTCCTGTCTAGAAAAAAAGAAAAAAAGAAGTAATAGCAGTAAGAGAGAGAGAAGAAGTATGTTGAAGAGAAGAAAAATAACGGTCCATACGTTGAAAATAACTATGCTCGTTAATAATATCGGGATGTTATTTGAACGGGTAGCGGTGGTGGGTATTATATGGCGTCAATAATTTTTACGCAACGAGACGCGTTCCCTATAGAAGGTCGATAATAGAGGCTTAACGACGTTACCGTGGCGATTTATCAAAAGCGAGTGACCACCGACACGAAGCGAAGTCGTGCCGAGAAAACGAAGAAGAGGAACAAGAGGAGGAGGAGGAGGAGGAAAAGGAAGAAGAAATAGAAAAAGAGGAAAGGTCGAAAGCACAGAAAGAGAAAAAGTGGATGGACTGCTCGTACGGTTCTTCTCCTACGATCGAGGGTTATACGAACAACGTGGTGTGGTATATATATATATGTATTAAAAAAAAAAAAGAAAGCAAGAGAAAGAAAAATAATAAAAAAAAGGAAAAGAAGAAGAAGAAAAAAATAAAAAAGAAGAAGAAAGCCGCGGGGAGCGTAAAAAGTTTCGAGTTGGAAAGTAATTTCCTCTTGGTTTCACGAGTTTCCCGCGAAGAAAAATATAGTTGGCAAAAAGCTTTCTATCTCTCTCTCTCTCTCTCTCTCTCTCGCTCTCTTTTTCTTTCTCTGTCTTTTTCTCATTTTTTTTCTCTCTTTTTTTATTTTCCCTCTTTTGTCTCTTTTACAATAATCTTCCAGTCGAATATTTGCGTGCTATCGATGAACCAGAGAAACTTTGGAAGATCGATATCGAATGAAAGATTACCGTCGTACCTTTTCGAACTTATACGTTAACTTTTCTGAGGAAAACATATAACGTTAAGAATACTTTGTTATAAGAGTCTTGTGCAAGATTCAAGCGGGAAAAATCGAAGCGGAGAAATTCAAGTTTATCCAGAGTGGTAAAACTTGCTCGTTTCTTGTAATGGGATCAATTCATTCAATCATCAATTTTGACTGCTACGGAAAAACGCGAACGAAAAAATATATTTCTGTAAGTGTGTTCGTACGTGTGTGTGTGTGTATAAACTATCCGTGTATTTAAGTTTGTGAGTGCGCGCGCACGGAGCCCTCGGTAGTAGAACTTTAAAGTTCAGCCCTTTCAGTAGGGCAAAGCCGATTCGTTCGGCCGCAACAAAGGTAGCAACCTTCATCCTCATTTTCCCGGTAGCTTTTCCTTCTCTCTAAAAGTGAATGCCTCGAGCGCTGTAACCAGCCGCCATTTTCTTTTCACCCCCTACCACCCTCCTATCCAACCCTCATTCGCCATGAGCCGGCGTTTCCTATGGTTACCATTTGCGGAGGGGATGCTTGACGTTCTCATCGGTCGCTTTCTTGTCGTTCGAGCCAACGTCTCTTCTCATTTTTCCATCTCTACACTTTTTTCTTTCTTTCTTTCTTTCTTTCCTTCTTTTCTTTTTTTTTCTTTTTTTTTCTTTTTTTTTTTTCTTTCACTCTCTCTTTTTTCTTCGACGACGATGACTACTACAACGACCTTTTCTTACTTCTACGACGAATTTCAATACTCTCATCCCCTTTCGTTCTTTAAAACTTCTTCGTCTCGCATTTTTTTTTTTAATACGTTTATATAATAATCATCATTATTTCTCATTCTTTAATCCCCCTTTTTTTTGTTTACATTTACTATAAAAAGAGAAATATTATATTCTTTATAGATATTAATTAATTCTCTAATTTCGTTTCATACCCATTTATTTTCATTATTCTCAACGTTCCCCCGTCATAATAATATCGTTCTTATAAAACACAAGTGTACCTAGGAGGAATCGAGTTTACACGTTTATGTCACTTTTACTGTCGACGACAACATAGTAGCTAGTAGTAGGTTGTACGTAACGCCTCGGGTTTAGGCTTAAGCACATTAACTATCCCGCCCGAAGCAATAGCGTATTGATTAGAGGGTGGCCAAGCCTCTGAACACTTTTACATGATTAAACACTCTTACATGATTAAACTGCCCCAACGAAGCTACGAAGAGACCAACCTGGTGTGGCACTTAACTTATTAAAATATATACCAACGCCGCGCTATCGTAGCGTTTTTTATTAAGGAAACCTTATCAGTCCTACGGTGAGAAACGTTCTCGTTGCTTATTTTTCCTCGACAATGGTTGTTGTTCGTTCAGTTCTTTCAGATCATCTTCTTCAGTTTTTTTCTTTAACCTCCTATTCAAACTTCCACATTTTATTACTTACTATTATTTAGAAAGTATAAAAACAAAAAATAATTTCATACTTTTCTTTTAATCGTTTATTTGATTTTTGTTCTTTTTAAATTCTCCAAAAAAAAACAACAAAAACGAATAAAGTGCACGATATATAAATACACATATTTTCACATTAATTAAATATTAATTGGTAAAATCGAGAGTTCATTGATTCTCATAATGCAGTTATGCGAGCAAGCTCGTACCTCGGTCGAACTTACTTTCATAATTAAGGAGTCCTTTGACCTTGCTCTACTCACCGAAATTGAGGGAAACTAAGAGAGAGAAAGAGAAAGAGAGGAAGGTGTAGAGATGACTGTCGTATAAAATGAAATTAGAAGAGGAAATTATTGAAGTTCTAAACGGTTGGTAAACTGTGACGGAGAAAGAGAAAGAGGAATGAGACAAAGGATAAAATCTGTAACACTACTAGCACCATGAGCACGTTTCGTAAGTACGTATTTACATGCATATGCCTCGATGTTTCCGTGATTCTACGTAGTACTCGTAAAGTACACCACACGTGTTTACACGTATATCGTTCGTAAAGAAACAGAGAAAGAGAGGAGAAGAAGAAGAAGAAGGCGGTAAGGGATTGCACGAAAGCTGTGCATTATGCACAAGGAGTAATCTGTTGCATGCGAGAGACTCCTACAATTGTAGTGCATTTATGTGTGGGCCCAACAAGACAAGACGCGAGATGCTCGTGAAAATGAATAGACAATAGGAAGTAAAACGTAAAGTTATGGGTACGTTACACGTTCTCTACTCCTATCTTTTTCCAACGCTCATTTTTGTTGTTTTTTTGTTTCCCTTAAAAGGAAAGCCAGAAAAGATCAATGAAGATAAATCCTGTAAATATATTTAGACTCGAAATAATAAAACGAGAGGTGATATCAATTTTATACGATTATTCTGTTTAATGCTCCAATTAGCGACACGGCAAGAGGGGACGTAACAAAACGTGCCGAGTTATTGTTTTGTACAAACAAATAAAAAAAAAATAAAAAGAAATAATCTGATAAGCGTATACTGGAGCTTACGCGAAAAAGATATTATGCAATACTCGTGTAATAGTTTTTTTTTTTCTATAATTGATAAAATACACGCAAGAGAGTAGATTCTAAATGCGGTTATAATATTAACTAACATAGAAATGAATTTTATCGATCGCAAAAATCGGTAGTCGTCTTATCGAAAACTTACCAGCCACCGTTCGTGTTAAACGCGGTAAAAAAATGTCAACTTGACCCGATAATGTAAGAGCGTTCGCGATAGCGGCGTCATCGTAGCTGGGACTTCTTTATCTCGAGTAGTATTTATTAATCTACACCGAACGCGTATTACGGTATGTTACGATTTTCGAATAATGACTGATTCCGACATATATATTTTCAAACTCATCTGTTTCCTCTCGATTTTCAAGGATATCGTTAGATCGGCTTACGTTATATCGTGTACAGACACACTTATACACGCACGTACACACTTATTTATATATAAATACAATCTTAATCGAAAATAGCGATAACAGAAGAAGTACTCTTTAACCATCATTTTCTTTTGTTGTAACATCCTCGATATAACAATTTCTAATCGCAGTTAGATAAATCATCGAAGGTCGGTAAAGTGTTAGAAGCATTGGTATTGAAACATACTTGGATTTTCAATAAGAAGTATTAAAAAATGAAGAAAATGATTAATTAGATAGAATAATAAAAAAGGAAGAATATTGTAGTATTGATGTTTATCGTACATCCCCTACCTTCCAAGTTCTTATTCCTGGCTAGAAGAGCCAAAAGGACGTCAGGATTGGGCGGAGTGTCAGCTAGATCTCCGGTATCTTGATGAGCCTGCGGCAAAGAAGATGGACCAAGAGGTGGCATGGTGGTACCCGGTGGTGGACGTGGCATCATAACTGAGGCCGAAGCCAAGGGTGGCAAGGCCAGTCCTCCGGGCGGATGATGGAGAGGATTGTGAGCTGGTAGTCCGCTCGTTGGTAATGTTGGTAGCGTTGGTAGCGTCGGAACCGGTTCCACCGCTGCCGACATCGACAAATCGATGCCACCCAATAGCACCGGACGACAGCCACCAGAAGCAGCGCCCGTGTTCACTGCCGGGAGGATTTCGCCACCCCCCGGCAGTGGTGCGTATGGCAAGTACAGCTCCAGTCTAAGTATATCTTTGATCGATCTATCAAATTTCAATTCTTTCCCTTTCTATAAAAACTCGATGATGTTTTTTGTGTTTCTTTATGTCTCGAGAAAAATTTGTAATTTACTTTAAAAGTTTCTTTTATCTTTTCCCCCCTACGAAAAATTATACAATCTTCTATTTGATTTTCAAAATCACTCAAACAAATTTGATGAAAATATATCTTATAAGAATCTTTTTTTTTACCTAGTTAAATAATTTTCGATCGTGAGAGCATTTGCTTGCGTCCGAGTTTGACACGTGATTGGATTTATGCACTGGCACTTATCACACATCACTGATTCAACTATGCAATGCTTTCATTATTAACATAAAGAATATGTTAAGTTGATTTATTTATAGAGTCTTGTAATTAACTTTTTTTTTACTGTATATCGTTCGTTCCGTCGGCAAGATTTCGTAGGTCACTTCAGCGACGGTAACCGTGTGTAGTTGTTATCCGTCTTTGGTGATCGAAATGATCGTCAAGAGGCACTCGATCACACTATCGTTCAATAATTTTCGTCGAGTAGTAGTTTATCCGATTACGATTTGTATGTACACACATACCTATGTGTTCCTGTTGGTCGTTGTTGTCATAAATGAAACTAATTGATCTGTATAATCCTTCACTAAATTTTGAAGGTAACGCGAGGCGCTTACTTTTTTATTAGTATCTTTTAAAGGTCGATATCACTGAATATCGTTATCAATGAACGAAACGTTTAGGTACTCGTAAGTATTTTCACGTGTTCGAATTTTTATCGTGTTTCAAATTACAAATTGTCATCTTTCGGGAAAAACGGATGATGGACGCGTTTCTTCAAAATGACAAAAATCTGCTCGTATTTCGAATTCCATAAAACCTGATCTTTTTCAACAGTTTCTCTTCTTCTTCTTCTTCTTAAATCTTCTTTTTTTTATTTCCTTTGCGATCCGTTTCTTTTTTGTGCATATTGTTTTTTTGTTAGTTTTGCGATTTTACGGTCCTTTCCAAGATTCATCGTAACGTAATGAAAAGTTTCCTTTACGATCGGTGCACGTAGAATAAAACAAAACTCAAAATGAAATAATGGAAAATCAATGATCGAAATGCATAAGATGATAGAAAAGAGCATCGAGGTTAGTCTTTCGCAGACCTAAATCTAACGACACACACATACACGCTGTTTCTCTGTTTTACTCTCGCAGAGAGACTCGATCGTGGCAACGATCCGACTCCTTATCTGTACTACTGTCCACAGGTCTCGGTTTATCTCAACTTAACCTTGGACATGCCGTTTCCAGATCGAGATGATCTCTATTTTTGTTGCCGTTTCTTTTTTCTTGCTTTTTCCTTTACGATCAATCGCAAGCGTGAGGAAAATTTTTCTTAACGCTTATAATTTTGACAATAAAATTGTTGTTCTTTTACCTTTTTTTTTTATTTTCTTATCTGTTTAACAACAAATTTCCGTCTATTTTTCTTTATTCCATTCCTTTTTTGTTGTTTTCTTCTCTCTTTGATAATACAATGAATATAATATTCAAAAGGTAATAATTCCGAAAGAATTTGAAGAAAAATAAAATCGATGAAAAATACAGAGAGAAGGAAAGAAGATCGGCTAGCTTGAGAAAAGGGTCCCACCAAATCTCGATCGAAAGGATCTATCCTCTTGTTCGTGGTTTACGAAACGGTGTCTCCTCCCCTTCGATCTTGGCGTCGAACGAGCGACGGATCGGTTTTTACACGCGCGTCGATGTAAATGTGGCCCGGGGCCCGATGCAAACGGTGCATGCCAGGTCGAGAAAAAAGCTCGAGAATCGGTCGGTAAAGCGATAGCTTTACGGGATATATCTAGTCGGCGTTCCCTTTGGAGAATCTTCTTTTGGCTTTAGGTCCGACGGTTAAACTCGAACGTGATCGAACTCGTTGACTCGACGTAAGAAACGAGAAAGAGAATTCCGCTGGTTCCTGGACCAGCTCTCTTTATCTCTTTCTTTCTTTCTTTTTCTCTTTTTATCTTTCTCTCTCTCACGGAGAAAGAGGCAAACCCGTTCGTGATGAGTTATCCATCGAAGACACTGGTTGA